CCCCGCTGTCCCCCCGCTGTCCCCAGCTCTGTCCCCCGCTGTCCCCCGCTGTCCCCCCGCTGTCCCCCCGCTGTCCCCCGCTGTCCCCCCGGTGTCCCGCGGTGTCCCCAGCTGTCGCCGCTGTCCCCCGCAGTGCCCGCGGCCATGACGCCGTACCGGCAGGAGCTGGAGAAGTACCGCGACATCGACGAGGACAAAATCCTGCAGGAGCTGTCCCCGGAGGAGCTGGCACAGCTGGACAGCGAGCTGGCCGAGATGGACCCCGAGGTGACACCGGGACCACCGGGGGGGACACCGGGACCACCGGGGGGGACACCGGGACTGGGGGGGATACCGGGATGGACCCCGAGGTGACACCGGGACCACCGGGACCACCGGGGGGGACACCGGGACTGGGGGGGATACCGGGATGGACCCCGAGGTGACACCGGGACCACCGGGACCACCGGGGGGGACACCGGGACTGGGGGGGATACCGGGATGGACCCCGAGGTGACCCCGGGCCCACCGGGACCACCGGGGGGGACACCGGGACCACCGGGGGGGGGACACCGGGACCACCGGGGGGGGACACCGGGACCTGGGGGTGACACCAGGACCGGGAGGGGACACCGGGACCGGGAGGTGACACCGGGGCCGGGAGGGGACACCAGGACCGGGAGGTGACACCGGGACCAGGAGGGGACACCGGGACCGGGAGGGGACACCGGGACCGGGAGGGGACACCGGGACCAGGGGGTGACACCGGGACCAGGGGGTGACACCGGGACCGGGAGGGGACACCGGGACCAGGGGGTGACACCGGGACCGGGAGGTGACACCGGGACCAGGGGGTGACACCGGGACCGGGAGGGGACACCGGGGCCGGGGGGTGACACCGGGGCTGAAGCGGGAGGTGACACCGGGGCCGGGGGATGACACCAGGACTGGGAGGTGACACCGGGGCTGGCGGGAGGTGACACCGGGAGCACCGGGGGGTGACACGGGCGCTGTCCCCAGAACGTGCTGCTGCCGGCGGGGCTGCGCCAGCGGGACCAGACCCACAAGAGCCCCACGGGACCCCTGGACAGGGAGAAGCTGCTGCAGCACCTGGAGCGCCAGGCGCTGGAGACCGAGGAGAGACAGGACCTGGTGCCCTTCACCGGCGAGAAAAAAGGTCTGGGGACACTGGGGACACTGGGGACAGCTGGGGACAGCTGGGGACAGCTGGGGACAGCGTGGGGACACTGAGGGGACACTGAGGGGACACTGAGGGGACACTGAGGGGACCGGGCCTCCAGGCTCGGGTATATTTAGCTCAGCCTGGCCAGCGGCTCGGGTGTCCTGGGCGAGCTGGGACCCTGCCAGCCCCGGGCACGGCCACCAGCGCTGGCACTGTCACCTCTGCAGTGTCACCAACCCCGGCACTGTCACCTCTGCAGTGCCACCAACCCCGGGCATGGCCACCAGCACTGTCACTGTCACTGTCCCTGCCACTGTCACCTCCTCAGTGCCACCAACCCCGGCAGTGTCACCGTCCCTGGCACTGTCACCCACTGCCAATGTCACCCCCCTGGCACAGTGTCCCTCCCTCAGGCCATGGCCCTGTGTCCTGTGTCCCCGACCATTGTGGCAGTGTCCCCGTGCTTGCTGGGACACTGTCCCACTGTCCCCGTGTGTCCCCAGGGAAGCCGTTTGTCCCCTGTGTCCCCATGTCCCCAATGTGTCCCCATGTCCCCAGGGAAGCCGTTTGTGCCCTGTGTCCCCATGTCCCAATGTGTCCCCATGTCCCCATGTCCCCAATAGGTCGCCCTGTCCCCATGTCC